GTAAAGACTTGGTCTTGGCTAAGTGGGATTTGATTTTTCTTTATTTAAAAAAAAAAAAGACTTATTTTTGCATAGAGCTGGGGTGCACACCAGAGGTATGGGGGTGAGAGGATTCACCAGAGACCAATGGGGAGAGGAACAGGCAGATATACTGAAACACACTGCTGAGGGGAGCAGTGGGGAGACAGGAGAGGTCTGCTGTGCCCTGTGGGTCACTCCCTGGCTGGGAATGGGACTCAGGCCTTTGCAGTGGTAACACAGACTTAAACCCTAGGCCACCAGGGAGGCCTGATTTGATTTGATTTGTTGTAGATGAAGCATAATTTCAACTGGTGCATGGAGGATGTGCCATAGTCAGTCAGATTCAGGGAGGCGAGTGGAAACGGGAAGCCCTCTCATGAATGGGACCTAGAAGGAGGCAGGACTCTTGAATCCAGATCTGCTTCTGAAGATGACCAAAAAAAGGCCTTTTGTAACTTGGACCCTTTGTGTTCAGAACTTTAAACAAGTGTGGAAAGTTCTGGCCTGATCTTTTATCTTGAGGCCTAATGAGTTTTTTGGTACTGTTTTATGATCCAAGTAACAGATATTTTCTCCTTGAGAAACCACCTTTCCAGGTAAGGCTTAAAGCCCTCTTTGATCATTGGGAAGCCCTCATTTTTGAAAAAGGACTTTATCATTAGGGATTCTGTCCTGAACACAGGCCTCACTTTCTTGGGTCTGGTCTCTGAACCTTAGCAAAAATATTTTAAAAAGAGCTTTCTTGCTAGGTGAACATTAGTGTTTTCCACTTGAAACATTTTTTCCTCTTAACCTGAATCTGAGGGGGGTGGGGTGTTGAATTTATGTTGTCAACAGAACCCCTCTGTTAGGGGGTTGCTGGAGGTACCAGAAGTGGTCCATTTGTTTTGTGATTGAGCTTGGCATTTTCCTGGCTGAAGGGATGGTAGCCTTCCTCTGGAGCCTCTCTGTGTGCAGAGAACCACCTGGGACTCTTGTTGCTTTTGAAAATAAACTTCAGACTCTTTCATTCCAGTGACAAACAATTGAGGTTTATGAGTTATTTCCTGTTCCATCTCAGCATATCTAATCACTGGTCTGCTCAGTGGGAATTCTTCCTTTCAGAATTATTATAAAAAGAAGCATGAGCTCAGGGTCTGGAGGCAGACTCCAGGCATCATGTCTGAGCCCTGTCACTCACCGGTCTCGAGACCTTGACCCCTCTGACAAATCAGTGTGACCTTCAGTAACATAAAAGCTTGTTGTAAAATGTTATGTAAAAGAGAACATGAATATTCAGTAACCACATACCTTTTCTATGTTTCTAGTCAATGCTTCCTTGAAAATTATTTTTTGTTGAACAGACTTCCTTGTTTAGGTAATAATTAGGAAGATAATCCTATTTGGGTTTATTCCAAAGGGATGAAGTACTCATTTAAAATGATTGAATTTTAGATCTAGAAGGTGCTTAAAGGGATTCTAGTCCAGTGTGGCCCCTTCATGATTGTTGTTTTTTTCATATTACCTCCTAAAAAACTCTTTTTAGACAGAGGAAATGTTCCCAATGAAGTTTTAATACCGCAAATACACTGTTTGGTATCGTGGCCTTTGAAGCATCACTAACCATTCTGTATGATTCCTTCCTCCAAACCCACATTGCTTCTCTTGAGGGTGCATATATTAGTCCAAACCTCATTTTTACATGTGAAGCCCAAGGAAATTGGATGGTTTGTGCAGACACTGAGGTGATTGTTATAGCAGAGACTACCACATTGAATGAACTTTAGGCTAGGTATTTGATTCTATCTTGACTACTTTAGACTATGTTTGATTTGTAAGATGTAGTTGAAACAGAATTATTAATAAGTAGGCTTCAAAATCAATAGTTTTAACCTTTAAAAGCAGCAGTTCTAAGGGTTAAGAAGTGAATTTGTTAGGGGCTTGTGTGAAAGACACTAAAGGCTGTGTTTATTATTTTATTTCTGGTCTTTTTGGTGGGTAGCAATCTCACAGTATCTGGTTGAAGCTTCTTAAGGCTAACCAGGAAGAAGCCATTCTGTAAGACTGCTTGACCACCAGCCGGTCCGCTCGTGTATAAGCTGCCCTGATAGCAAAAACTAGGTCTTGTCCATTACTTTTGTGTTACAGTGGACAGCCATTGGGTTTCCACACCTCATATGAATCACAGAACTGGCAGGAGGTTTTAAGTTTGACATCCTGTTAAAGTTTACGTCTGTTAGGAATGAATAGGTTACTTTTACATTTTTAGTATGTTAAGAACATGTACTAAACTGCTTTTGTTTTAGGTTTTTATTCACAATCCTCATAAACGGACCCAGCCTGTTAGTGCCTCCAGAGTCTGGCAGAGCCCCCTGGAGTCCGATGTTTCGCTTCTCAACATCAACCAGGCAGTCAGCTGCCTGACGGCCGGAGTGCTGAACCCCGAACTTGGCTACGACACGCTGTTAGTGGGGACGCAGACTAATCTTTTGGCCTATGATGTCTACAACAATTCAGATTTGTTCTACAGAGAGGTGAGTATCCCCCTCTATAAAAAGTATCATTATTCATTAATGCCCATTTGGCATTAATAGTGCTTGAAAGGGAGCAGGCATTTATTTTGATTTGTTTATTAAATGACTTATAATTAAGTACACAGCGAGACTTGCTTTAACTACTTGACACTTATTTATTTGGTTGGTAACTTCTTGGTGACACTCCAGCTTGTCTCTCATGAGATGTAGCTGTTATATCACCATCTGTCAGGATCTCTTAATGAGAATTCAGCCAAGAGCCAGAAAACCAGCAAACAAGTCTCTGGTGGTTTTGCATTAAAGTGTAGTGCAGTAGTTTATAGGAGAAGCACTTACTGTGATTTTTTATCTATAGACTATAGGCAGCGTTAATACCCAAGTACATTCATATTTTTATAGAAAAGATAGGGAAGCAGGTAGAAAAAAAAATCACTGATATTTCTTCATCTAGAAATAACATTTTTTTGCCTCACCAGGAGACATTGTATTTTTAGATGACAGTTTTTTTTAAAAGATTTATTTATTTATTCATACAGAACTGGGGTACAGGCCAGAGGTGCAGAGGGTGAGAGGATTCACCAGTGACAGAGCGGGGAGCAGAACAGGCAGATCAACAAAGTGCACTGCTGAGGGGAGCAGCGGGCGGGTCAGGAGAGGTCTGTGTGCCCTATGGGTCACCTCCAGGGCAGGGATCGAACTCATGCTGAAGTGGCTTTACCTTCTTGGTGCTGTGCTTTAACCTGCTGCACCACCAGGGAGGGCCCTATATGATAGTTTTAAAAATTGAGGTTAATATTAATTTATAGCAATGGATAGAGGTTCCTGTGATACTTACCTCAGTTGAATTATTTGTCCAGTTTTCTTTACTAAGTGTGTATATAAATGATTTTTTTTCTTTTTACAAAATGGGATTACACTATATAAATAGCCTTTTATTTTTACTTTTTTCCCCCTGTAATAGTTGTATTCAGATATAACTTATATGCCATATAATTCACCAATTAAAAGTATGTAACTAAATGGTTTTAGTTTATCCAAAGAGTTGTACAGCCATCACTTCAATCAATTTTTCTTTTTTAGGTATGTTTTTATTAGGGTAAAATATACAGTGAAATGCACAAGCCTTAAACTATAGAACATTTTTATCACTTCAGAAAATGTTTTTGTTTCCTGTGCTAGGAAATTACTATTCCCCATAGATGATCACTTGTTGCTCCAAAAACTAAAGATTAGCTTTCCCTGTTCTTGAATTTCACACAAATGGAATCAGACAGAATATATTCTTTCTTTTCTGGCTTCTTTCACTCTACATTGTTTGTGAAAATCATACATGTTATTGTTCATGACGTTAGTTCTTTTCGTTGCTGAGATTGTATCACAACTGTTTGTTCTTTCATGATAGACTTATAGGAGGGACATTGGAGTTGTTTAAACTTTTTGACATCTATGAATAAAATTTTTTGTTTTTGTTTATGCACATAATTTTATAAAGATTTGTTTACTTATGCACATAAGAACTGGAGTGCAGCCAGAGATATCAGGGGTAAGAGGAGTCACCAGAGACAGAGGGGGAGCAGAACAGGCAGATCTACTGAAATACACAGCTGAGGAGAGCAATGGGGAGACAGGAGACGTCTGCTGTGCCCTGGGGGTCAGCTCCCAGGCTGGGATCAAACTCATGTTGCAGTAGCTGTCTATAGATTGATAGTGCTGTGTCTTTAACCCCTGCGCCACCAGGGAGGCCCCATGAACACATGAACACATGTTTTAATTTATCTTGAGTAAATACACAGGAGTGATTGCATCATCTTACCCATCTATCAGCAGTGTATGAGAGTTCAAGTTGTTCTATATTCTTTGTCACTTTTGGTGCTGTCTTGTAGCCATTTATTTACTTATTTTAAAGATTTTATGTTTTAGCTGTTAAGTAGTATCTCATTGTGGTTTCATTTTGCATTTCCTCATGAAAAGTGATGTAGAGCACTTTTCTTGTGCTTGTTATCTCATTATGCCTTTTACAAAGTACCAAAGTATTTTTTGGCTACATTTTATTAATTTGTAGACATTCCTGTACAATTCCTTTATTAGATTTATCTGTAACAAAAATTTTTTAAAAGGTTTATTTACTTATGCATACAGAGCTGGGGTACAGGCCAGACAGGCGCTGTGAGAGGATTCACCAGAGACAGAGTGGGGAGCAGAACAGGCCGACTGACAAAGTACACTGCTGAGGGGAGCAGTGGGTTGTCAGGAGGGGTCTGCCGCGCCATGTGGGTCACCCCTGGGGCGGGGATGGAACTCATGCTGAAGTAGCTTGAGCTTCTCAGTGCTGTGCTTTATCCCACTGTGCCACCAGGGAGGGCTATAACAAATATTTTTATCTAATATGTGACTCATTCCCATCGGTAGGTGTTGTTGATGAGCAAAGTTTCAACTTTCATGAAATTCCACTAATCAGTCTTTTTTCTGAACAGTTGTTTCTTTTCTGTCCTCAGAAATCTTTGTCTTGAAACAAAGTACTCCCTGTATTTTAGTACAGGGCTGATAGTGAGTTTAGGGATTTGTACTTTTTTTTTTTTTTGCATAGAACTGAAGTACAGTGGAGCAGAAGCACAGGCAGATCTAATGAAATAAACGGCCAGGGAGCTGACCCACAGGGCACAGCAGACCTCTCCTGTCTCGCCTGTGGCTCCCCTCAGCAGTATCTTTCAGTGGATCCACCTGTTCTGCATCCCACTCTGCCTCTGGTGAAGCCTCCCACCCCCTGCACTTCTGGCTTGCACCCCAGTTCTTGTATGCATCGACATCTTAGGGAAAAAAACCTGTTTAGATGAGTTTTTTTTATAGATATTGCTAAATTGCTTTCTAGAAAGGCTATTTTTTCTACCTATTTCTCAGAATCTAAAAGTACCTCTTTTATCATACTCTACCCAGCAATGGATAGTATTGTCCTATTTCATCTTTGCTAATCTGAAAAATGAAAAATGGTATTTTGTGAGAAGAAACATTTTTTGTGGTTGTTGGTTATTTGCTTTTTTTCTTTTGTGAATTTTCTGTTTTTTGGGGGGTTTTCTTGGCTTGGGATTTTTACTCTTTTCTTAATTATTGGCTCTTTACTAACTTTCTTATTATAGATTAGTTATCCTCTTGTATATTGTTCACCTTTTAACTTTGTTTTTGATTATTTAGCAGTTTAGTTTTTCTTTTTTTTTTTTTAAGCAGTTTAGTTTCTTTTCTTTTTAGTTTCTATGCAGTCTTTTATTTCCTTTGTAGCTAATCTTTTTCTTTATAGTTTTCTTACTTAAAGATGATATAAGTAAGGGCAGTTTTCCTATGTGATATTAGTGCTTATAAAGATGTTCTTGAATCTCCCAAAAATAAATTATGACTTAAGGCTGGAGTGTTTATTAGTTCTGCATGGTGTTTTTTTTTTTTTTTCCTTAAAGATTATTTATGCTTACAGACCTGGGGTACAGGTCAGAGTTGGGTGAGTGAGAGGATTCACCAGCGACAAAGTGGGAGGCAGAACAGGTAGATCTACTGAAATACACTGCTGAGGGGAGCAGTGGGAGACAGGAGTGGTCTGCCACCCTGTGTGGGTCACTCCCTGGTCAGGGATTGAACTCATGCTGCAGTGGCTTCAGAGAGCTTCTTCAAGCAGTGGTTTAACCCGACGTGCCACCATGGAGGCCCTGCATGGTGGTTTTATTACTCTCTGTATTTTTTAGTACCTTTACAGTTAGACTATTAGTAAAATAACTGGGTAATAAATATTCAAAAGGTTTTCATTTAAAAAGTAAGTTACCAAAGTAGGTGTTTTCAAGGCATATATTTTGATTCTCTGGAGAATTTTGTCTCTAGAACCTGGTGGTTGTAGAGAACCTGATTCTGTAGCAGCTTCTTTCAGCAGACTGGTGTGGAGGTCAAGGGCCTGGCTTCACCCTGGGCCTGCCCTCATCCGAGCCGACATTTGCTCAAGCCACAGTGACTGTCCTGAGTGGACAGCCTGGTCTGCCTCTCAGGAGACCATGTGGCTTTTCACCAATGATGACGGAGGATTGAATAGCCAAAGCAAAACAAGGGTCTGTGTTGTGCCTAGGGTGTCTGTGCATTCTTGTACCTGAGCTTATACGCCTTTTTTCCCTTTTCCTTATTAGGTAGCAGATGGGGCAAATGCAATTGTGCTGGGGACATTGGGAGATATTTCCTCACCTCTTGCAATTATTGGTGGAAATTGTGCACTGCAGGGCTTTGACTATAAGGGAAATGATCTCTTCTGGACGGTAAGAGCCAACACTGATGCATAAACATTTTTCTTTTTAATGTTAAGATTATTGACTCTAATGAATATAAAAATAAAATGGGACAACATTTATAATTCTGTATATTTCACGTGAATAGCCTGTTGGTAGTTTGTGTAATCCTCCCATGTGGCTAATATATTTGGATTGAGCGAAGAAAGATGGCACTATTAATGATTTTTGGTTTCATTTTCAGGTTACTGGAGATAATGTTCAGTCCTTGGCCTTGTGTGACTTTGATGGTGATGGGAAGAAAGAGGTCTGTGGGGGAGGACGTCATTCTCTGTGTGTTCAGCTGAATACATTTTCCCAGGATGTTTGAGAGCTAACACTTAGCTAGCTAACACTTAGCATCTCATGGTTACATTTGGTGCTCTCTTGCCTAAATAATGAACTAATTGGCCTCATTGGTCTTTGTGCTCTTTTTTGAACAACAACAACAAAAACCCCTTCTGTTTGTCCGATAAAAAGATCGAGGCCTTGCTGTTTCAAGGGCCTGGTGGAGAGAGAGGGTGCAGAGTTGATGGGCCTGCGGTCATGGTCAGTTTCATGATTGCTTCTCTGCTTTGACACCAGATTAGTCAGCAGTGCTCAGTTTTCTCAAAGTTTTAGAGATTGTCTTTTAGCCTTGACAATTATATAATGATTATTCTAGAAATGAGCATTTTGAGTAGCCAGTGAAGTGCTGTGTTGGGTACTGACTTACCCGCCTCTTCTCTGTGAATACCCCTTGCGCTTGGGGTGGGCACGAAAGGGCACTGAGCCGGGACGCACTCCAGGTGCTAGTGAAAGACGTGACCTGGCTGGCTGCGTAGTGTCCAGAGCACGATGTCATCTGTAGCTGCCACTTGTTTGTCGCTGGTGAACCTGTTGAAGCCCTGTGAGAGGAACCTTTCCTGAGCAGCAAGTTTTCAGGAGATTGGAGCTCTTGGGTGGCCACAGGAACATACCAAGTGTTATGCAACTTGTATGTTTCATTTGTGGAAATTCTCTGTGTTCACTTGCTGGACTAAATATGCATGATCTCTCTCCCCCTCCCCAACCCAGCTTCTTGTTGGCTCTGAGGATTTTGACATCCGAGTTTTTAAAGAAGATGAGATTGTGGCAGAAATGACAGAAATAGAGGTAAGAAGCGCACCTCAGACCTCAGCTTATTTTGGGCAAGGTAGGTCAGCACGTCAGAAGTGCAGCGTCAGGTGAGGGTGCTGGACATCGGCTCCGTACCAGGGAGTCGGGGACTGACTGGGAATAAGGCGACTCTGTCATAGGGGAAGGAAGTTTTTCAGAAAAGTGTTGCTTTGTTTTGCCAGAACTGCTTTCTTCCAGGAAATGGCCAAAATGGCCGACCCAAAGGGGAGGGGAGGAGAGATACCCTCATCCACAAAGGAGAGACCCTGCACTGAGGAAGGATTGGGGGCTGGGGGTCTAGAATTAAACTGAGAAACATGTGGACTTCATGAACGTTTTATTTCAGGGCCCTTTTCCTGTCCTCTCAGTTTTATTTTTCCTCCTAACTCAAATGTCTTTTCCCAGCTCAGCAAAATCATAATTATCATCTGGCAGCTGAACAGTGCTAAGTATTGCCAAAAGAATGTCTTGAGCTAAATCATTCTGAAATCCTACACACCACTTTGTATTCAGAGTTAAGTGAAGTGGGTGGTTGTGTAGAAAAGGTGTAGGTGTAAAGGAAATTACATAAGTATTCTCTGCTTTACATTTTCCTTAATATCTCCCATATTCGGGTCAGAATTAGAAAGTAGATCTGCAAGATCAAAGATCTCATCATACTTTAATTTTAACTTTAAGGGCTAGTTTTGTTCCATATCTAACATTACTTTTTAAACTGTATTTTTGTGTAGAAGACCAGGGGTATAGGCCAGCGTGGGGTCAGCTCCCTGGCTAGGGATCGAACTTAGGCTACAGAGGTGATAGTGCTGAGACTTAACCCCGAGGCCACCAGGGAGGCCCAGTCTCTAAAATTTTATCTTTTTAAGGAGGTCACCTCCTTGAACAGACCTGGAAATATTTCTCATAGCATACCTTCTGTGTATGTACATATTTAAGTCCATGTACTTGGGTTTTCCTTTTTGAAAGGATTATGTTTTCTTCTAAACAATATCTTTTATCCCGAGCAAACAAGTGGTTTTATAGAAAGAAAAATGTACACATAGAAGATATTTAATTATGGATTTTGCAAATCTTTTAAAAATTTGGATTGTAGGGTATTATACATTAAGGATATACCGTCTATTGTACATATACCAGTTTATTTCCTCCTTAATTCCTGAATCTTTTTTATTATTAATGATTTGTTTGAATACTTCTGATGGTCCATGTCATCTTGATAAAGATGGAGGTGAAGGTGAAACATCCCCTATTAATGGATTGGAAGCTCATCCATTCCTAGTTTTAACACATTTGCAGCAAGACACACATTTTTATAAAGCCAGACTTCGCAGCAAATGAACCTTAGGACAGGTGTGCTTTTATTATTATTATTATTATTTTTGCAGAAAATCACCTCCCTGTGCCCCATGTATGGCAGTCGATTTGGTTATGCCCTTTCCAATGGCACAGTTGGAGTTTATGACAAAACATCCCGATACTGGAGAATCAAAGTTAGTATGCCTTCACCTCTCAAGACTCAGTCATTTTATAGTTACCAAGAGGGCTCTGTACTCATTGTTGGAATTCCTTTTCAGTCCAAAAATCATGCGGTGAGCATTCATGCCTTTGACCTTAATTCTGATGGAGTATGTGAACTGATAACGGGTTGGTCCAATGGAAAGGTGAGTCTACATAACAGCGCTCAGGTAGATTCCGAGTGAGAACGGTCTGGCATGTCTCGGTTGTGTGATTCAGAACAGTAGCATGAGAGTAGAAGCATGTGTTGCTGGATTGTGTCTTCAACCTTAATGTCACCCTCTTCCTCTTTTCACATTTTTTCTTCTGTAGTGGCCATTACTATTGAGTAAGTGTCGCTCTTACAAGCCCTATTGGAGGGTAAATATCCAGGAAGTAAATTTCTAAATCTCTTTTGTGAAGGAATAAGAATCTATTACCCAAGTTGACCTAATAAAAAATGAAACTTTAAGAAACTACAATGAACTGTTTTAGAGTTGTTTTAATAATTCCTTGAGACTTCCTGAAAAATAATGGGAAGAATCATGTTACATTGTTTTTCTGGCTGTGACTTCAGAGGAAAACCTTTTTGCTTTCATCCCTTTTTAAGTTCAAATGAGAATTTCTGCATTCTTGGCAAGTCAGGATTGTCTTGTTAGACACTAAGAGGTTGCCAGATCTCCATGGATACATGCTCCTAGTTTTCTGATCTGTCAGTGCTGCATTGCTGGCGAGTTCAGTTAATTCCTGTCTTGTCTTTGATTTTCCTTGACTTTTGCCTGGTATCATACAATCTTTGTTTTGTGCTGTATTTGAAGAACAGATTCTAAGCAGCTATTATCTTGGTTCCTGCTTTTCCACCTGCTATAGTCTTTGGTGTGGATGTTAAAAACTATAAGATAAAACAAAACTATAAGATAAAACCATGTAGTTACTTGTTAAGAAACTTGGAAGTCTGTAAAATGAGAAGTCTGAAACTTGGAAGTCTGTAAAATGAGAAGTCTGAAACTTGGAAGTCTGTATTTTGAGAGAATTTAAATTATTATAATTGATTCAAGAATTAGAAAGTATTAGATTTGAGAACTTAACCAACATTTATGACTCTGTACTTAGACGTTTTTATAGTTAAATCCTTCAGAAAATGTAAGGAATTTGCGTTATCATTTGTTCTAGAGCATAAAAAAGAAAATTCGACAACTTATTATATAGCTGCACTTAAAGATAACATGGGGGGAAAATCCAGATCCAGCTTGTGAATGTGGGTGCAAAATTAAAAGATAAAGGCAACTAATTAATTATTAATTATTTTAGCAGGCAGCTTGTTATGGTGCAGGGTGATCGCTGCCAGGGTGAACTCCATGTTGGAAAAGGCAAAGGAGCAGGTGGCCACAAAAATCTCACTGCGTGGTCCTGCTTCTTAGTTAGCAGGGACCCCACTTGTTTGCTGAAGACTGTGGAAGGGCTGTGGTAAAGTGGCTAGAAAGGGCCTCCTGGTGGCGCAGTGGGCTAAAGCTCACTAGGAAGCTGTCCCCAGCCCCTGCAGCACGAGTTCGCTCCCCGGCCAGGGAGAGACCCACCTGGTGCAGCAGACCTCTCTCGCTGCTCCCCTGAGCAGTGGATTTCAGTTAGTCGGCGTGTTGTGCTCCCCACTCTGTCTCTGGGGAATCCTCTCACTCCCCGCACCTCTGGCCTATACCCCAGTTCTTGTATGCATCCATACATAAATAAATCTTTAAAAAATATGCAGTGGCTAGAAAGAAGCAATTTCACCTCTGTCCAAGTGAGAGTTTTCAGTGCTAAGAATTTTGGTAAACACAGGCCATTCATTGCTTCACCTGCTGTTAGCCCTCATGAGTTTCAGGCTTACATTCTTCTGTTATTAATAGCCTGGATGCTTGAATGTGATGTCTTCCAGTCGAGAGGTAGGAGCTGCTAAGTCGGCCAGGAACTAAATGATGGTTTTGTTGCGAAGCTTTGCCCAGAAGGATATTCATGAAAAGGCAGCAGTGGTGAGTGGCCTGGTCGCTGCAGTTCTCTGCCAGACGGCCTGCAGCTAGCCTGTTGTTGCAGATACATGTGTTCTTGCTTGGAGCAAAGTCCTTTTTGTTGTTTGGAGATGCATTTGGTTCTGAACTATCGGTTATTTGCCTCTCTTGAGGAGGAGACTAAAAGAGAACAGGAGAAGTAAGATACCTGGACTTTTACTGGAAGAAGAAGGTATCTTAACTGGGTATGATAAAAGGTTATGGGGAAGATTGGGCTAGCTTGGAGTTTTTCAAACTTTAGATATATAAATATATGTGATGCATTTCTAGGTAATAAAAATAATATTTTTAAACAGAGCTGAAATTTCTTGTATACATTTACGGGCCAGGCCTGTTCCAAGTGCTTTGCCTGTGTTAACTCCTTTAGGCCTCCACTGTAGCCCTATGAGGTACAAGTATTATTATTTTCATTTTCTTCTTTGTTCCCCAGATGAGGAGCCCAAGCTCAGGATGGTTAAAAAACTTGCCTGAGACCCCTTAGATAGTAAGTGGCAGAGCTGAAATCTGCTCGGGCTTTCTCGCACCAGGCTATGTGTACTGTATGTCGACTTCTTAGCCAACCATGATCTCAAACGGAATGTTATATGAAGGTCCATGTGTAAAACAGCTCCTACTTATTTATTTATTTTTAAAAGTTTTATTTATTGATGCACAGAAGAACTGGGGTACAGGCCATAGGCGCGGGAGGTGCCTAGAGACAGAGTGGGGAGCAGAACAGGTGAATCGACTGAAACCCACTGCTGAGGGGAGCAGCGGGGAGACAGGAGAGGTCTGCTGTGCCCTGTGGGTCACTCCCTGGCCCAGGAGCGAACTCAGGCCTCAGCAGTGATAAGCACTGAGACTTAACCCCTAGGCCACCAAGGAGGCCCTATTGACTTATTTTAAAGGAAGAAAGCCAGCTGGCTGAGGTCCTTTAATGTGATGCTAACCACTCTGAGAAGCCAGAGGCCTCCAGAGAGTACCCTTGAAAACTGCTAGACAAACTGACATTTCAAGGTAATTTTGACTTCAAAATTATGTTATTGTTTTTTTTTTTTTTTAAACTGGCGATAAGCCATTTTCTTTTCTTTTCTTTTCTTTTTTGTTTGTTTGTTTGGCAGGTCGATGCTCGAAGTGACCGAACAGGGGAAGTCATCTTTAAAGACAACTTTCCTTCTGCGGTTGCTGCGGTGGTGGAGGGAGATTACCGCATGGATGGCCGCACGCAGCTGATCTGCTGCTCCGTGGATGGGGAGAGTAAGTGGGGGCGGAACTAAAGCCTTGAAAAGTGAGACTTCTGGCTTGCTTGGGGGGACACTAGAAGCGCCCACTGTGAAACGTTTATATTGATCCTAATACAAACCTGGGCTCCCTGCCAGGCGCGGCTGAAATAATTGATCCTTATCCTAATAATTTCACCCAAGCTGGGGAGGTGAGAACCTCGGTTTTGTCTTTTTTGAAAAAAGATGTATTTAATTATGCTTACAGAACTGGGGTACAGGCCAGAGGTGCAGGGGGTGGTGAGAGGATTCACCAGAGACAGAGCGGGGAGCAGAACAGGCAGAATGACTGAAGTACACTGCTGAGGGGAGCAGCGGGCGGGTCCGGAGGGGTCTGCCGGGCCCTGTGGGTCAGCTCCGGGGCGGGGGACCAAACTCGTGCTGCTGTGGTTATGATAGCTTCATAGTTGTGTGCTTTAGTCCTCTGTACCACCAGGAAGGGCCCACATTTTGGTTGTTAAGGACATGTAGTTGATGGCTTACTCCTAGGCCTGCCCTGTGGTGACCTTGTTTTGATGAATATTTCCTTTGGTTCAGTCCGGGGCTACCTGCCAGGCACGGCTGAAATGAGAGGGAATCTCATGGACACCAGCGTCGAGCAGGACCTGATCCGAGAGCTGAGCCAGAAAAAACAGAATCTGTTGCTGGAGCTCCGGAACTATGAGGAAAATGCCAAGGTAGGTCCTCAAGCCGAGGGAGCGGGGGCTGCAAAGTCTGGGGTGACCTGTTGACCTCTGCCGGAACCCAGGCCCCCCGGCTCGCTGGCAGAAGTGTGACTGCGTTAGCCTCTTTGCCAGTGCCAGCATGAGGCGGGATGTATTTGGTCTAGAAATTCTGCCTCTGTACAGCCTGAGCTGTAAGAATATTTGCAAGGGTATTCGAAGGCATTCCCGACTGCACTGTTTGTAGGAGCAGACAGTTGGAGGCCACTCAAATGTTGGTCTGTAGTGGTATGTGCTCGGGAATCTTAAGCAGCCCAAAAGAATAAAGTGCCTTTATGCTCAGACTGATAGGGAAGTGTATCTGTGCTGCTAAGTGAAAAGCAAAGAGCAAGAACAATACATCTTTACCCTTTTTTTTTTTTTTTTGCATAGAAGAACTAGGGTGTAGGCCAGAGGTGTAGGGGGTGAGAGGACTCACCAGAGACAGAGTGGGGATCTAAACACGTGGATCCACTTGAAGTCCACTGCTGAGGGGAGCAGCGGGGAGACAGGAGAGGTCTGCCGCTGCCCTGTGGGGTCACTCCCTGGCTGGGGATGGAACTCAGGTGATAGAGGTGATAGCTTGAGACTTAACCCTTAGGGCCCCAGGGAGGCCCTGTGGCCATATTATTTAAAATTGCCATCAGTTCGTTAATTATGTGCCTGAGTTGCAAGTGCATGGGTGTTTTGCAGGCTGACTCGAGCAGTCCACTGAGTGAGGCTGATGGGCACCGCGGCATCATCCCAGCCAATACCAAACTCCACACCGCCCTCTCCGTCAATCTGGGCAGTGAGGTCCAGGCTGCCCATACAGAATTGTGCATCTCCACGTCTAACGGTAAGAAATGATTTGCTGCTGGCTTTGTAGCACCTGTGCCCTCTTGGCGCGGTTCTCTTTGCTTTTTTTAAGATATATTGTTTATGCATATAAGAACGGGGGTACAGGCCAGAGGTGCAGGGGCGGTGAGAGAATTCATCAGAGACAGAGTGGGGAGCAGAACAGGCCGACTGACGAAGTACACTGCTGGGGGAGCAGTGGGGAGACAGG